GCTGCTTCCTGCGCCAGCCACTTGCAACCTGCATGGGGCTGCCTGTGCCTGCTCAGGACAGCCCCGCATGGGGCCACAGAGGTGGCGGTGGCAAATGCTGCCCAGCGTGGCAAGCAGGGGAGGCACAGCTACTGCCGCTGCGGTGCAGCCCCGGTGGATGAGCCCGAAACTGGTGCGGGGCCAGGTTACAAGCTAGTGCTGAGCATGGGGAAAAGTGGCCCCTCGCCTGCCCTGTGGCCGGCACCCCACGCTGCAGCCACTCGCAGCCCGCATGGGACTGCCTGTGCCTGCTCCAAACAAAATGAGGGCAGGGGGTACATGGCAGGATGCGCTGCTGCCCTGTGTCCCCCCACCCAAAGCCCCTGCCCCCAGCCCTGCTCATGACCCTTTGCTTCCCACCCAAATTCCCTTCCCCCCAGCTGGGCTCTGTAGCTACCCAGAACCTGGGTCAGCTGCAAACATCTGCTGCCTCTCCGCCCCAGCCCCCAGCTGTGCCTGCTCAGGACAACCCTGTATGGGCTGCGAGTGGCTGCGGCAGGGAGCGCCGGCCAAAGGGCAGGGGAGGGTCCACTTTTCCCCCGCGCTCCTCACCAGCTTGTTCCCTGCTGGGGAGCAGGGGATCAGGGCTGCATGCTGCCCCCTGCCTGTACCATGGGGCTGGGGGACACTGGAAGTGAGCCCCCCAGGGCTGGTGGGCACAGGGCCCACACCCGTGTCCCAGGGTCAGCACTGGCAGGGCCCAGAGCAGGGTGGCAGGAGTATAGGGTCCCGGCTGGCAGGGACTCTATGGAGCTGGGCCAGCTCCCCCCTCTCCTTGCTGGTGCAGCCTGCACCCAGCTCCACAGACCCCTGCCAGCCTCTGCTCCACTCTGGGCCCCACTAGTGCTGGCCCTGGGACATTGGTCCCAAGATGGTGACCAGGGGGCGGGGCACCTGTCAAGGGGTGGGGCTACCCATGCAGCCCTCAACAGCTTGCCAAAACTGGGTAAGTGGTCTGCTACCTGAAATAATTGCCCGCTCCTGCTCAAGAGCATAGTAACTGTGAGAAGAATCTGCTTCTATACTACTTGTATCATTTCCAATAATACCATTTTGGAAGAGAAGCCTGTTTTTGTTAGAAGTTTATTTGTACATAAAGTAAGCTATTCCACAAAATAATAGATGTAGACTGGGCAGTTTGAAAAGGAAATTTGAGAGAAATACTAGAATAGTGTTGATAAACATAATGCAAATAATTCCCCCAGCTCATTATGGTAAAATTGAAGTAAAGATGTTAACACAGTATTTGCACATAATTATATAGTTATGTATTTTTGTTTATATTTGTCAAAGGAAGATATTAATATACTGACTTCAAACATGTTTTATAAACATTATTAAATAGCTTACGTTTTTCAGGGTGAGACTGTTGTACATAGAGGAATTAGGTCAGTGGTTTTCAACCTTTACAGACTCAAAGCACCCTCATTAGACTTAGGGGACCCAGGGAAAATTCCAGCTCTTAGCTTTTTGCTACAGAAAAATAATAGAGCAATTCTTCTGTTGCAAAGAACTTGGAAAGACCACAACAGGGCAGAATGTTTTTAACACAGTGGATTCCTGCTTGAAAACTTTGGGCTTCTCTTGTAAAACACATTTCCACACCTAACAGTGCTAACGGTGTGTGGCGCCCTGCATCACTCTTGAAAACATTTCAAGACATCCCAGAATGCTGCAGCTTCCTAGTTTAGAATCGCTGAATAAGGCTAATGTTGAGGAGTTTTATAGAAAAGTGAAATATAGCCAAAAAGAAACACTGTTTTTCTTTTACTGTTTGAGTCTTAACTGGCAGATACTATGTAGGAAATGAAAAAGATCTTAGAAAAATTAAGAAATTTAAAGCACCCTTCTAAAATGAATATGCTTTATAATGGACTCTATAACCTGTTTTCTGTATTGACAGGGAGAACAAGGGGATCAAGGAAGCCTTGGAAAAACTGGTGAAGCCGTAAGCTTAAATTTTCCATTTATATTTTTAAGAAATTATTCTGTTAGTTTAAGAACTATATATTACTAGCCAATTGCCCATCAAGAATGACAGGGGGGGCGGGAGCGGGCGGGGACAGAGCCCCCCATCCAGGCCCCGCTCCCCCTTCCCTCCTGCTGGTTGCAGTCTGGCACCGCTCCCTCCTCCTCACCACAGCAGCAGGGGGAAGGGAGGAGCGGGCCTTGGCCTGATGCGGCAGAGGACCAGGCCTGAGGGCGGGGAGAAGCCAGGCCAACCTGGCATAGGTTGGGGGATGGGAGGAGCGGGCTCAGGGCCGACGCAGGGAAGCGGGGGTGGGGTAGGAGTAGACCCAAGGCCCGCTTCTTCCCTCCCCTAGCTGCTGCCGCTACTGCAGCCACGTTGGGCCAGGCCCACTGTTCCCCCCAGCCGCCAAGGTTCCCTCCAAGGCGCACATGTGCGGCTGCACGTGATTTAAAATCTTGCCATGCACCAACTTATTAGTGCTGCGCACCCACCTGGAGAGGAGCTGGGCGTGGAGCGCGACAGAGGCACTGGGGCCAGCGCAGGACACTTACCAGAGGTAAGCTCAGGCAGTGGGTCCTCCCTGAGGCAGGGGCGGGGACAGTGAGGCAGAGACGGGGGCTGGGGCTCAGGGCTGGCCCCAGGGAACTGCTCCACCGGCTCTGGTGAACTGCTTCATGCCCCAGCCCCAATGCCATGTGCCTCCCGACTCCTCGAGGTGAGGCAGGGGCGGGGGTCTAGGCCTGGGTGTGGTGCAGGCTCTGCCAGCTCCGGAGAACTGCTCCATTCCCCAGCCCCTTCAGGCTCCAGGCCCCTGTCCCTGTTCTACATGTCTTCCCAGTCCCCTGGGGTCCCTGACCCCAGACAAGGCTGCTCCACCCCACTACAGTCCCAGGGTCCCTGACCCTTATAGGGCTCTATGCAGGGTGCCCCTGTGCAGGGAGCAGGATGCGGGCGGGTGGGGGGTGGGGACAAGGCCAGCCCTGCTGGCCTCACCCCCTGCTCCGTCCCCTGTGTCCCCACCAATGTGGCGGCAGGCTGCCTTCTGTCAGAACACTTCTTCATACTCTGATGGGCTGTTTGTCAAGTGTGAAGAAGCGCAAATAAAGCATTGCTAACAGACAGACAGACAGATATAGGCTTTTGTAATATTAGGATAATAACTCTGTTCACTAGTTTTAAAGTGTTTTAAAGCCATGATTATGTTTATAGGGTGCTTTTTAATAAGAAAATCACTGATTGCATTGCCTTTAATTTGGATTCATCTTGGAATGCCCCATTTTACAAGTTTATGTTAATTTTAATTACTTCCTAATGGGTCATGTGATCACTGGAGGGTAAGGGGCTTGTCCAAAGCCCATTCAAATCAGTAAAGAAAGTTTGAAACTACTGTTAAGTTGTATTTCTTCACATGCAGCCTTCCTTTAGTAAAGTGATTGTAAGGATCAAGAAGGCCTCTGAGCCCTCCACAGATTTCATTAGAGAATTTTCAGAACATCAATCGGGGTATGCAGTCAGCTGGTAAATATGGAAGGGGGCATGCAATAAGAACAAAACTGGAAACTTCTGCTTTAGACCGTAATAACTTTGGAAGAGGAAATGTCATTTACATTGTGTTTGCACAGTTACAAGCACGGTAGGGTGATCTAAGCCTTCAAGCACTGCCATCATCATCATAAAGCAATAAGCATATAAGCCATTACAGCTATATTGTATTCCCCTGCAGTCAGAGCTGTCCCTAGGGGTATGCGGTGCCCGGGGCATATCAGCCTGTGCAGCATTGGTGGCAGCATCGGCGGCGTGGTGGGGGAAGGTGGCAACTGCCCGCAGAAATCACCAGCAGTGTTGCAAGGTGAGGAGGGTGGCGACTGCCTGCAGAAGCCACTGCTGGCAGTGGGGCCACAGGAGGGCCTGTACAACACTGTCCGTGGGGCCCCCCAAAGCGCAGGGCCTGGGGTAGTCACCCTGATTCGCACCCCCCTAGGGACAGCTTTGCCTGCAGTAGTGAATTGGACAAAGATTGATTTAATGGACATGGACAGGAGGACTAGGAGGAGTTAGCACAGTGTAAAGCAATGAAAATGAAATCAGATATGGACAAGCTTTATGTTAACGGGAAGTTAAGGGGGGAAAAGACTGAAAGCAGAGAAGGTTGTGGAACAGGTAAATGCAATGATAACTAATTGCATGACAGATGGCATGATCTTGGCTCAAGTCTCAAACCTAAATAAGGGATATAATCCTACTGAGAGTGTCACCAGACAGACAACAAGATATTCATAGGCAGAAAGTGACGGAAAAAGAACTCTATGGAGAGATTCGTTGTAGAAAAATATCACAAAAATATATTGGCAAATTAGAAGTGGCTTGTCAAATTGGGACTGAAAAGAGAAACTGAGCACTTATAATGGCTAGTTAGAAACAGTAGTATAAGCAGTAGTGTGAGCTGATTACTTTGCAAAAAGTATGGACTACAAATACAGGGACAGTATTACCACCATGGGTCAGATAGTGTTGGAGATGATAATGCTGTAAAATATTACAAAATATTACAATATTACTTTTCTATCCTTATTGCTAATGAAGTATATGCTATAAAACCAGCTATGCTGGTTGTTAAAAATGAGAGGAAAATGGTTTCATTGCTCAGGATTAATCCCACAACCCCTGGCCTGACTTCCAGTCCTTTTGCTCCCATTTCTGTTTCTACTGCCTATAACTGGAGCCAGTCCCAAAAGCAAAGGAAAAGCAAGTAGTCTGCAGACTGATGTCTAGAAGGAATATGAAAAGTTGTGTTTTGGTTTGGAAGGTAAGATGCACAGAGAGGGTCAACTCAGTTGCCTCTAGAATTTTTCTTTCTCACGTGATGAGAATATGTAAGAAAAGGCTGACAAATATGATCAGTTATGGCAGGAATTGTGGTGTGTTGGGATTCTGTGATGGAAGTATCACAATGACACTGATTAAACTGGAAATTGGGCTCTATTAGTAAAGCTATGGGTCCTTTAGAAAGCAACATGGATGTGCACCTCTAAAATATAAAGATGATGACATTCTAATTTCACTGATGCCTTGGTCTAAGTTAGAGATTGTTTTCACACTCACTGGAGGAGTGTAAAATTAAATAAATAATTATTACTATTGGAGAATAATAATATAAAAGAAAAGTCTGACCAAGTCAGTTACTTAAACTCAGTATTTTGGACTTCTCCTAGGCTGCATTTTTCTTGTCTTCTTTGTAAACTTTGAATTCAACAGCTAAAGCTCCCATAATGACAGTCAAATAAAAAAAGAGCGTGATCTCATTTTGTTGCTCACAAAAGGAAGTTCATTCTTGTACACAGATGAGATTTATGAACAAAAAATTATATTCAGTGGTAAGAGTTTTTTCAAGGAACTAAGGAAAATAATAACAAACTAAATATCCTGCTGTATGTGGTTTGGAAGAAAAAAATGTAAAGAAATAATAAATATTATTTATGCTAAAGGAGAAGAGACCCTGGAGACTGGTGGTTCATGTTGTTGTAGTTGAAATACTTTAAGATAAATAAAATTCAGCTTCAATTAACATTTCTCACTGTCACTATTTTCTGTGGAAACAATTGTTTTCAGTTAGTACAGGCTAACGTGATTCCTGGGAACAGAAATGGTTGACAAACTGTTGGCAAGTCATCTTTCTTTTTAGCTGTGGCTGTAGAACATCATTTTATTATTTTACTGAACATCTAAATAATGGGATGAGATTTTGTGTCTGTGATCATTAACATATGGTATTTTATTATTATATTATCATGCAGCAGTCATAATTAATGCATACTACTGAAGTACATGGTCTATGAATGAGGTGTATTGTCTAGTGGTTAAAGTTAAAGGCAACCAGCGAGGAACAGGGTCTTGCCTTCCAATCTAAGCTAAGCAGCACTTGCTTTGTGACTTTAAAATCATTTCCCTTCACTTCATTCAACCCAATATTAACACTGTATTCAAAAAAAAATCTCACTTCAGACCAGATGCAGCATTTGAATTGAGCTTTCCTTGGGTAGTAAATTAACAGCCACTGACAGGAATTGGAAAGGATTATCTCACATAAAGAAATATGGGTGTACAGAGAAGCACAGATCTGAGCACTCTGTGTAGGCATTGATCCAAAAAAACTTCCATTCATTTCAGTGTATGCTGGATCCAATTCTCTGTATATGTGACCAGACTAGAGAATTTCTGAAAAAAGTTTTTAACTACCTGTACATTAAGTAGTAACACATTACAAGATGAGGAGTTGCACCTGTTCATAGTCTTACTAAATATTTATCGCTTTTTTTTTACTCTTCTGTTTCCTTGTGCTGTCTTAACTCTTCTGTTAGCAGCCAGCTCCTCTCTTTAGCTAATTAAACTACAGCTTTTGGTTCCTCCCCTTAAGGGATAATGTTATGCTGTGCCCAGCTTTCTCAGGTCAGGCATTACTGCATACGAGCTTGAACTTGCTGGGGAATTCAGAGTCTGAGGCTGAGCCTACTTCCATGCCCATTTCTTTCTGCTATGATTTTGGAACTTGCTCAGGATTAATCCCACAACCCCTGTTCCTGACTTCCAGTCCTTTTGCTTTTCTGTTTCTACTGCCTATAACTGGAGCCAGTCCCAAAAGCAAAGTAAAAGCAAGTAGTCTGCAGACTGATGTCTAGAAGGAATATGAAAAGCTGTGTTTTGGGTTGGAAGGTAAGATGCACAGAGAGGGTCAGCTCAGTTGCTTCCAGTTGGGTAGAGGGCAAGCCATGGGTTCTATCCTAAATATCAGTGCAGACATGCTCTCCATCTCTCTTCTGGTTAAATTTTCCTTAAATTCAGCTAAAACAACATATCAAGGTGTTAACAGGAGTATCATTGTTTATTGAGATTTTAGCTCCTTCAGCACCCCCACTTCCCCTTCCCCCTGCTCTGCCTTGGATACAGTAGAATTCTCAAAAGCACCTATCCTGTGTGTC